ACTTTTTTAACCACCTCAAGCGTCGCGACAACATCATCGGTTTCGCTTCCAGACTCCGACTCCGTGTGGTCTTTTGGTTTGATTTTCTTTTCCAGCGGGGAAAGAGAATCTTCTTCAGACGATATTGACTCACTTCTCCAAGCCGGTCCAGTTCTTTCTATATGGGTCTTTCGTTTAAACTTTTCTACCTTCTGTGCCATGTAACTAAGGCCATATACAAACTTTTATAACGGAGCTAGCAAGAACACGTCTGGACTCTCGCCATGCTCGACCCAGTCCTACAGGAATGCTATAAGATTATGCCAAGAAACATTGTTGGTCTCTTGCTAATATCACGCAGTTAAAAAGGTGATTGAAAATGTCAATAGACTCTTAAGCGTTAAGCGTTTAATTGATATCGATTCTCACACGTGTAACTCGAAGACAGGTTTGCCTTATTTAATCGAAGAACTTGTGGCTGCAATTTTTTTGTGCAGTTTCCACCATTAAAAACATGTAAAATAAATGAAATTACTCTCTGCCATTCTGAGTGGTTCAATTATAGTTAAGCACAAAGGGTTCCCATTCATGCTGTGAGCTTCATAATTGTGCCGTGAACTTCATTATTATGCTCGGAATTTCGTGAGAAATTGAGAACTTGCAGCATTCTACTGCGTTCAGACCACTACTGTATATGCTGAACCAGCAAATTTTATTTCTATAAGAGTCTTGTGTTTCTGTTCGAAACATTTCAATTCTTTAATGACAATGAATATCAGACTTATTTTTTTTATTAAAGCCTACTGATGAAGGAAGTTGATTTATGGGCCACGGATACGTTTGACGTATTGTTTTGTGTTCAGTCGGCGGGATACTCAGGGAAAGAAATCCCATTTTCGAATTTCATTTAAAAAGATTTCTCTGATGATGAAGAATGACTAACATTACTTCTCTTTGATATGGTAATTATGGTTGGTCATAATGCAGCAACTTCCGCATGAATCAAAAATTAAGTAAGTTAAATTTGAGAAGATTACCTGTCGAGGTATGTGTCTGTTGGGTTTAGATTATCTGTATTTTATGACTTTCGCAGTAAGGATTGCTGTTAGTTAGATAGAGGTTTACAGCAGACAGGTGCAAAATTATGTCCCTCTAGGATCAACAAACTAAATTTCAGTGTTAAACAATGTTTGTTTAACGAAGGACTCAGTGCCAGTAGAGACATTTACACCGATACACTGCTTTTTCTTCCAACAGCTTTGGATTAAATAAATGCGACTAGAAAATTCACAGGTAG